TCTGGGTCTAAACTCCGCTGCAGGTCCATATATCAAACGATCACTATGGCATTACTGAGAGTTGAAAAACTGTCTAAAGTCTTTCATCTTTAATAAAATGATCAGCGTTCTGCTCTACCAGGTGTAACAATTGAGTTTAACATCCAGGCATCCATGAAAACGGACATTTATGACATTTAACGGAGATAGAAGTTAGCAGGAAGTTAGCTTGCTAGCTTCTATCTAAATACAATATAACATGTCCTGACTGCCGGGTTTTGGAAACAAATTAAAACGTACAGCTCTGCTATCACTTCCAGCATAAATGAAGACAGAAAACTAAACAGCAGTGACGTTTGTAGGGTTGCTGAAGTTGGGCTAGCTGGTATATAATGATGATAAAAATTTTAAATGCTTCAAATGCTTAAAAAAAAACCTTTCTTACTGAAGTTCAACATACAGGACTCTGTAGTTAGACAAATAGTCAAAATTATCTAAACAATTAAATATTTTATTGTCTCGTTTTATTTTCGCTCAAAAACAGAGTGTACTTTATGTAAACAAGGTCTGGTGGCCCTAAAATGTATAATGTAGGGTAAATTTTGTGTTGATGTATTGGTCTTAAGTAAAACTAAGGTGTAAAACTGAATTGATTGACAATTTATACTTTATACTTTAAAAAACACTCAAATGAAGTGGGGACATTTATGACCCCTGAGGACCACAGGTGTATGGAAATCGGGAGGACATTATGAGGGATAAATTAAATTAATTTGACAATTTAAGAGTAATCTTGCCAATTAATGTAATTAATGTAAAATTGCAAAGAGCATTGTGGCTCGGATAATCTATAATGCATAATATTAGGAGGGCTCAGACATTGGTGGCATTAAATTTAAAGTGTACATTCATCAAAGCAAGGTCTGAGGTTGAACAGGAGGGTATCAAACTTAATTTAACAAGAGCAACGAAACACATTACACTAAAGACACATACTACAGTGTTCACATACTGTAACACACTGAGGTAGAGTTGTTTCAGTGCTCTATAACTCTATGACTCACCCCTCTGATGACTTCACCAATCATGCCATTCCAGTTGCCGCTGGAGTCCATGGCGCCATAGCGGTTGTCTTTGACCAGATGCAAGTTGTACTTGAAGCCTAGCTTCTTGGAGAGCTCTGAGATCAGATCAATGCAGTAGCCTTCTAGCTCAGAGCCCTTGCTCATGGCATATGGTTCATCCTGACAAAACACAAGGCAGCAAGCAAGGCATACTTTAAATTTAAAGGAAATCAACATGCTCTTACAACTTGAAGTTTGTGTAAAGTTCCATCCATCCATCCATTCGCTTCCGCTCATCCTTTTTCAGGGTCGCGGGGGGTGCTGGAGCCTATCCCAGCTGTCATAGGGCGAGAGGCAGGGTACACCCTGGACAGGTCGCCAGTCTGTCGCATAGTTTTAACTTCTGAATCCTAAAATTGTAGTATGTAAATGACTGTTTAAAGGAAACAGTGCCATGTGTAAGGCAGTCTCACTTTTTGCACCGAAATACTTGAGGAACTTTTCACTCCGAGTTTTTAACAGTCAGGTTCAAGAAGGTCAATCTGACATGTTCCACTCCTTTATGAACTGTGTGGAGTCAAGCACATCCTCAGTTTCCCTTAACTTCACCCTTAACCTTTTCTTTGACTTTAAGTATTTTATCACAATTGACGTGAGGCCTACCGGTCTTTGTGCATTTAAAGTTTTTAAATAACTAGATTTAGGAACCAGAACTAAAAAAGCATCCATCCAAACAATAGATACATCTTGTGCCTCTAAATCCTTATTAAAAATATTATGAAACACAGGAGTCAGTTGTTGAGCACAAGATTTGAGTAAACAACAGTAAATATAATCTGGTCCGTGAGACTTGTTCACACCTAATAGTGTTATGCCTTGGATTTTGTGTTTCACTTAAACTGGTTTTACAGTCCCTCAAATGTGTTGGTTTGCATATACAATTTCAGTCATACAGAGAGGGGAGAGGGGTTTTCACATAACCCACCCTTCCTTATTCTAACTTTGATAGACGTAAGTGACTCCTGAATATTGACTGGCTGACAAGTGGGCCAGAATATGGACGGGAGATACAGCGATTACTAGAGATTACCAGGAATGGGTGAACCGTGAAAAAAAAAAAAACTAAAAAAAAAAAAGTATAGACAGTGGCTGTTGTGGACACTGTTCATTATTTTTAATACTTGTTATCTTTTGAGCTATTTGTAGGTCATACATTTGTTCCTTTTTTCTTATGGCAGGCTGATGGACCAACAACAGCATAAACAAGAGGGGTCCGACATACTTTGTAAACTGCTTCCTGACAACAGAGCTCTGTGCAGGCAGATGGCCTGTACCAATTCTATTTTATCCAAGGCTGTATGACTAAAAGTGGTCATTAGAGCATGCTGTAGGTATGGTTTGAATGACCTCTTCACACACTAAGGGTAATTATGGAGTTCCACAGGGTTGTGTGGTAGGACCAAATCTGATTACATTATACTGTACCTTCTTCCTTTAGGCAGTATCATCAGAAGGTATAGCATATATTTTCAGATTCCTTCAATATACATAATAAACAAATATGTAGGACTGCTTTCTTCCATTTGTGCAGTATCTCTAAAATTAGAAATATCCTGTCTCAGAGTGACGCAGAAAAACTAGTTCATGCATTTATTACTTCTAGGCTGGACTACTGTAATTCATTATTATCAGGATGTCCTAAAACTCCATTTCCAGCGACAGAAACGGCAAACAGTGGGGAACAATGGGTGTGGTCAACAGCAGGCCACAGGTGAACCTCTGTCGGCATTTGTGAGTACTGTTTTCCACTGTTGTTCGTCAGGTGCAGCCCTGTTGGGGGGGAGGGTCGCCATGGAGATTAGCCAGGCCAGCTTCACAAACCATGGTAGCGGCAAGCCAGGGACTCAGTTGTGTGCTGTTGTGGGCCAAAACTGGGTTGTGGTGCGATGAGCTCAATGAAGAGACAGAGTAACGAGAAGAGATTCCTTGTTCCCTGGGACTAGGCTGGCGCAGTTTCAGCACCAGAAGAGGAATTGTTTCCCTCTTAGCTATAAGGAACATTCTTCTTGGAGATTTTTTAAGACAATTTTATTGAGTGTTTGCTTTAGAATTTAGTGTAATAAGAACATTTTATTGCATAAGTTTTTAGAATGTTGTTTGTTTTATTCCTGCTTTCTTCCACTGGGAATAAACCTCTTCTGATTAGACCTGTTTAGTCTCTGTGCCTTGGGTTTCTGATGAATTTTCTCCCCCTTGTATTTAAAGAACCCGAGTGTCTACACAAGTACACACTCACACCCTATCACATATATATACGAAGCCCCAAGTGCGATGGAAGAAGGATCATTGAGTTCAAGAGGAACTGACCTGAAAGATAGGATCACAGCGAAGCTTGAAACCTGGAACCTCCATAGTTGGTTACCAAGACTACGTGAAGTACCCTCAGAAGATCTACTGGATGATGTGAATGCAGCACTACATACCATACCTACCACCACCATTACCGAGACTAACCAGCTGATCTACACTACGGCAGCAGTAATCAGTGAGATGATTGGCTACAAGTGGAACAGCTACAAGTTCTGATTACCCTCCATGGAGAAAGAGACCAGAGGCTAAGATCAAGGTAGCATGGAGGGAGGTTAGCCAACTATCAGACCTGCAGAAACGTGCAATGAAGAAGGTGCCTAAGAAGTACAGAAAGCTGTCCATACCTGAGGCCTTGGAAACTGACAAGCAATGACTCAGAGCTTTGGCCAGCCGCTTGAAGAGGTACACCAGGGAGATTGAAGGCAGGAGAATAAAGCAACTGTTCTCCATACAACCATCCAAGCGTCTGGGAGCACAAATGAACCAGCTGCTTGTCGATGAGAGATAACCAGAATGGCTAACACAAAGCCGGAAAGTTCTGATCCCCAAGGACCCCCAGAAGGGACCAGTCCCATCCAACTACTGGCCAATAACCTGCTGGAAGCTCCCGTCAGGCATCTGGCGGCTAAGATGAACAGGCACATGGCTCAATACATGAGCGGGGCACAGAAAGGAATTATCAAGAATACCAGAGGAGCAAAAGACCAGCTACTGGTAGACCGAGCAGTCAGCCGAGACTGCAAGACCAGACTGACCAACCTGGTCTCTACCTGGATTGATTACAAGAAGGCATATGACTTGATGCCCCACACCTGGATCGTGGAATGCCCAGACAAGATCAACAGGACCCTAAGAGCCTTTATCAGGAACTAAATATGGATGGATGTGGCAAACCACTCTAGAGGCCAACTTCAAGACCATAGCACAAGTCACCATCAAGTGCGGGATCTACCAAGGAGATGCCCTGTCCCCACTGCTGTTCTGCATAGGCCTTAACCCCCTCAGTCAGATCATTGACAAGACTGGCTACGGATACTGGCTACGGATACTGACTATGGAACGAAGCAATTGTCAGCCACCTCCTGTACATGGATGACATCAAGCTGTATGCCAAGAGTGAACGACACATTGATCCATGTCACCAGGATATACAGCAATGACATGGGAATGCTGTTTAGACTGGAGAAATGTAGCTGGATGATATCAAAGAGAGGGAAGGTAGTCAGAACTGAGGTGATCGAACTACCAGAAGGTAACATTGTAGACATAGAAGACAGCTACAAGTACCTGGGGATTACACAGGCTAATGGGAACCATGATGAGGTTGGGCAAGTCATGAGGAGCCTGCTGAACAATAAGAACAAGATCCGGGCTATCAACACCTGCACCTTGCCCATGATCAGGTACCCTGCTGGGATAATAACCTGGCCAAAGGAGGAGATAGAAGCCACTGACATAAAGTCCAGGAAGCTCCTTACCATGCATGGAGAGTTTCACTCCAAGTCCATCACCCTGAGGCTGTACGCCAAGCGGAATGAAGGAGGCTGGGGACTGGTGAGTGTCAGCACCACAGTCCAGGATGAGACAATGAACATCCATGAATACATCTGGATGCGACCGCATGCTCAGTGAATACCTCAGACAGCAGAAACCCAAGATAGAGGAGGAAGACGAGGAACCATGGCGGAAGGACAGGCCCCTGCACGGTACGTACCACCGGCAGATAGCGGAGGTGGCTGATATCCAGAAATCCTACCAGTGGCTGGACAAAGCTGGACTGAAAGACAGCACAGAGGCACTAATCATGGCAGCACAGGAACAAGCTTTGAGCACAAGATCCATAGAGGTTGGGGTCTATCACACTAGGCAAGACTCAAGGTGAAGGCTATGTAAAAATGTCCCCGAGACAATCCAGCACATAACAACAGGGTGCAAGATGCTAGCAGGCAGGCATAGGATACAGGAACATCTGTGCCGATTATTGCCTGTTTGTGGTAGACAAACACAAACAGAAGGTAGACAAACAGAAGAAGAAGGCTGTAGTGATAGATGTAGCGGTTCCCAATGACATCAGGAAGAAGGAACATGAGAAAGGGCTCAGAGAAGAGTTGGAGAAGATGTGAAGGGTAACAGTGCTAGGTGCTAGGTGCAATGACTCCCAAGCTAGACGAGTGGCTTCAACAGATCTCAGGAACAACATCTGAGATCTCTGGCATTACCAGGTAATCAGGCATTACCTACTAACAGTACCACTCATTCGACTGCTTTCCCTGTTCAACTCAGCTTGTCTGGAAATACTCATTACATTCCCATTACATCATAGCGCACTCGGTGCTTGTTTGGAAGTTTAGGGGGGTTTTTTCACTGTAAAAAGAAGTTTTCTTCCCACGCACAACGGACACTAATGTTTTTGTCACTTTTTATGGAATCAAACTTAAAGTAAGGTCAGTACTTCCACGCTTTAAACGCTGCACGCTCATACTCTCTCCCGCACTTGATATATTATCCACTGTTGATCTGCAGACAGCTGTTGTCAAGAACGTCGCACTTGCTTACGTCACTGTCATGAGACATTCTCGCAAAAAAATCACGGTTTTAGTAACGCAGCGTTCCTACGGGAAAGTAACGGTAATCTAATTACCGTTTTTGCAATAGTAGTCCCTTACTTTACTCGTTACTTGAAAAAAAGTAATCGGATTACAGTAACGCGTTACAAGTAACGCGTTACTGCCCATCTCTGATCTGGACTTAACAGTTCTATCAAATTTCCGCCCAATCTCTAAATTGTCCTTTTTGTCAAAAGTTCTGGAGAAAATTGTCCTTCCGCAGCTCCAGACCTTTTTAGACCAACACGACATTGGTGAACCACCACCGTTTTGACACAGTAGATTACAGGATTCTTATCTCTTGACTGGAACAATGTGCCGGAATTACAGGGCTTGCTTTGGAATGGTTTAAATCCTACTCATCTAATCGTATTTTCTCTGTTAGATTCAGAGACACATAGCCTCCAAAGATGACCCTTTTTTGCGGGGTCCCCCAGGGCTCTATCCTTGGTCCAGGCCTTTTTTCAATTTATATGCTCCCGTTGAGATCTATTTTTAAAAAATATGGAATTTTGTTTCACTGTTATGCAGATGATTCTAAGATTTACCTTCCACTAAAATGAAAATCTGTGAATCCTCTGAAGGGACCGTTTGATTGTCTAGAACAGGGGTGTCAAACTCCAGGCCTCGAGGGCCAGTGTCCTACAGGTTTTAGATATTACCCTGGGTCAACACACCAGAATCAAATGATTAGTTCATTACCAGGCCTCAGGAAAACTTCAAAACATGTTGAGGAGGTAATTTAGCAATTTAAATCAGCTGTGTTGGATCAAGGACACATCTAAAACCTGCAGGACACCGGCCCTTGAGGCCTGGAGTTCGACACCTGTGGTCTAGAAGATGTCAAGGCATGGATGGCTCTAAATTTTCTAAATCTAAATGAACAGAAAACTGAGGTCATTGTCTTTGGTCCTTCTGACCATTACGACCTTGGCCCCTTAGAAAATTATAAAAAAAAAACCTTTTGCAAGAAATTTACGAGTGATTTTTGGCAGCACTTGACAGATAAATAATGTAGTCAAAACCAGTTTCTTTCATCTTCGCCTAATTACAAAAGTTAAGCCCTTTCTCCGTTTCAGAGATTTTCAGAAAGCGATCCATGCCTATATCTCATCTCACCTCGACTTCTGTAATAGTCTCTACTCTGGCGTCACCTCTTCATCAATTGGCCAACTGCAGCTAGTTCAAAATGCTGCAGCACGGTTTCTAACTGGCACACGCAAGCGAGATCATACATCTGCTTGCATCACTACACTGGCTGCCAGTCAGCTTTCCAATTGACTTTAAGATCTTAACACTTGTTTTTAAGTCATTGCATGGACTAGCCCCTACATATCTTGCTGCTCTCCTAACCTGGTATTCTCCCCCAAGATCCTTGAGGTCTGCAGACCAAATGCTTTTGGTTGTCCCTAGGTCCAGATTAAAAGACAGAGGAAACCGGGCATTTGCTGTGACTGCCCCCAAACCTTGGAATATATTGCTTTTGCATATCAGACCCTCCCCAACACTGGATACTTTTAAAAGTCATCTAAAGACCCGTTTTTATTCTCTGGCTTTTGATTCATCATGAGTTTGTTACTATTATTCTGTTTTATGATTTTATTCTATTTTTTATGATTTTATTCTCTTCTAAAACACTATTCAGTTTTTTTGTTATGTTTATTGCCTTGTCCATTTTATTGTACAGTACTTTGGTCAACACCTGTTGTTTTAGAAGTGCTATATAAATAAATTTGAACTTGAACTCTGTCCAGAAGAGCACAGCGCTAGGAATGGCTAAGATACTGCGCAGGACCCCCAAGCTCCCAGGCCTCTGGTAGAGGAGCTTGAAGGATAGATGGCAGGGGCGAGCGGGGAATTATATCCTCCATCTATTATATCACTCTCTTGTTGGGACCGTTGTCCCTCTTCCTGCACTTCTTGTTGGTGCTATTAACAGCAGCCTCCTGTGGCTGTGAGAGCTTGTAAAAGTTGTTGTTGGCAATACTGCTGATGGTGCAGCAGCAGCCCCAACAGCTAACATGTCGGTTAATTTGACACATTTTGACACATTTTGCTGCATTTATTTTTAGTTTATTTTTATCTGTCTTAGCAGCTCCACAGCTTTTCTCCACTTCTTTCTCACTAAACTCTGTTCTACATGTTGTGTGACGTACAGCAAAGGCAAGTGGAGCGCCTGGTTGTGTAGAGAGATTTGATTGGGCAATACAGTATCAGTAGTGAAAATTAATGAATGGGCTTATGTCAGTGCATGCAGCACTGGTGCACGGCCATCGGCCCAAAAGTGCATCAGCCCACTGGGCAAATGCCAGGTATGCCAGATTACCAGTCCAGCCCTGACTAAAGAACATCCCAGAAACAACATCCAAGATCTCTGTCCAGAAAAGCGCAGTCCCAGGAACAGCAAAGCTACTGCGCAGGACCCTTGTTTGATGGATAAAGATTGCCTGCAAGGAATTGTTGAATTTTTTATTTTGTTTAAATTTTTTGAAAGGTGGCAGACACTGTGCTATGTTGTTTTTTGTTTGTGTTTGCTTAATTAAAAAAAAATCTGTTTACTCATATTTTAATCAGATAGACTGTACAATACCTTATGTTAAGAGTGTATATATATATATATATATATATATATA